CTTGATGACTTCTTGGTGCAGTTGCCGAGGAGATCACTACCACAGGTGCATGCGTCGCACAACCACTCCCCTGATGACCATGGTGCACATCCCAACAGCTCAGCCACTCCAGCTGACCAGACTTCTCAGCATGGCACCTCAGACGTGGTATTGTCAGCACTGAGAGAAATGCAGGAAGATAATAATCAGCTCAGACGAGAGGTTCAGACACTGCTTGGTGCTCTCTCTCTCTGGTCCTCAGCCCTCCAGACATTGCCAGCTCCCCAACCTTCTGCATTAGGCCCCAGTACCCAGGACCAGAGGCAGTCCTTTTGGACATATTCCATGCCTCAGTCTCCTCATCCTGACCATGCCTCCAGCCACTACTCACACACTGTACGTTCCTTTCACATACCAGAGGATGACATACAGGATTTACCTTGGCCAGAGGCATCACTTCCACTTGATCCTCAGAGTGCTGAGCCATTCCCTGTTCCACCACCTCCAGTGTCAGAAATTCCTGCTAGTGCAGCAGCCTCAGCTCTTTTCAGACGTGCGCCACCTTATCAGTACAGTCAACTTCCTGTGACTGAACAGGTCAGGAAAATTAACGTGAAGGACAAGTATGGCCCTGAAGCATGGGTGAAGAGGCAGGTCACCCCTGAATATGCAGAGCCATACACCTTTCAGCGCCAACAACCAGAAAGCTTCCAGGAGATGACTGGGGACCCGCCTCGTTAGCCGCCAACTGATTCCAAAGACTGGAGGAAATATGGTCAGCACGAACCTCTACCGAGTACAGAGACCGTGTACCGGGGACCAACACCACACATTCCATACTTCACCTCTGATGACCCCAGCCAGTTCGCTCGTTTGCGAATGGCACTTGACAATATCCTGCCTCATGATGCAACTGAACGTTTCAAGTACCAGATCCTAGTCAATCACCTCAAGTTGGAAGACGCCCTCCTGATTGCCGATTCCTACAGCAATAGCCGCTACCCATACAGCCAGACCATGTCATCTCTGATAGAACTGTATGGTCAACCTCACAAACTTACCCTGCAGCGGATCTTAGACGTGTTGTCAGAGTCTCCGGTACGGAGTGGTGACAGCCGAGCGTTACGTCTTTTCGCCCTCAAAGTGAGGGGTCTCGTGGGAATGTTGGAACAGCTTGGGAAAGAGGGGAGAGCAGAACTAGAGTGTGGGTCACACGTTACCAGACTGCTGTCCAAACTGCCACACAGTCTTTGAGCGCAGTTTAAGCGGTTCATCAATCCTCTTCAGACACCCATCCCAACCTTAGCAGATTTGGCAGAGTGGCTTGAATACGAAGTCCGCATCCAAAATGATGATGTGTATTTCCATCAGCCTCAGCAACCTCGAGAGCCACGTGGATTGTGGGAAGGGTGCCAGACC